CACTCGCACATCCGAGGCCTGTTACGGAGCAGCGTGTTTTGTGTTGAACAGAACACGCTAAAAGCAGTTGGAAGTTCTACACCTTGAATGCTTGCGAGCCATAACCGGCCTAGCAAGACATACCAGGGTCGATCAACTCTATAGGTACTCCGGTCTCCCGCCTTTCAAAACCTTCATCAAGACGCGCAACCAGGGCCACGAGCTACGCGGGCAGGAGAAAGAAGCGGTTAGAAGATTCCTTGCCCTCACACCATTCCCATCACCTCCAGACGTATCCCAAAATCCCCCGACTATACTGGAACTGCGGCAAGACGTCTTTCTAAAGTTCCCCGAGCCTCTCTCCGGGAAATGCAATTCCCAGGACCACCAGACCAAGCGCAGAGCAAAGGCCCCTCGTTCAGAAGAGACGAAAAACGCAGTGTTCACAGAAGCAGCCTGGGACGCTGTCACCCAAAAGAACAAGTTAGCAGTAATCTCACAACTCGGGAACTGCGAATGTGTACACCATTATGACTACCAAGCAAGCTCAAGCCAGCTCGAACGGTCCGCGATCTTTTGTGCAGTACGCGTCTCTTTGTGTACCACAAAAAGACGCGTCAGAAACTACGACAGGCGGGTGAACGTATTGTCATTTACACAGATAGCTGGGAAGCCATCAACCGGCTCAGCTATATTCCTTGGATTGGGACGCTCATTCACAACATCAAGAGCACGAGCCTCGTGCTTTATCAACGCCATGGAGGGGAGGTGAGGTTCGATTGGGTGCCGGGAAACGCGGGTAGCATCGGCAACAAAGCCGTGCACGCTTTGGTTAGCAAGAGCGAGGACGGCCGACCCGACCCGGCATCCCAGATTGTGCCCTCACCAGACGACCCCGATCCTGCCACCCGCATATGTGCGGCAAAAAGGGACCAAAGACGCCCTTTGAAGGAGCAAGTAGCCGTCAACCACCACCCGTTGCCGCACCGACTACCGCGTGCCGCCCAACTTTTAATCCATAAAGAACGAGCGGGAGCCGCGGTAACCGAAGACGCCCTCGCCAAATGGCGAATCTACCGGAGACGCACGCATCAAAGACGACGAACTACAAGAGGGAGTCGAAGCCACCCCAACAGTCACGTGCTCGACGTGCACGACAGAGGCTCGCCCGACCGTCGAACACATGCTATGGTCATGTACTGGCTTTCACGATCTGGGCAATCGCTACCTCCAAACTCACATCACGTTCCTGTTGGAATGGACCACCTCTGCCAACAACAATCGAGCCCATGACCCGCTGCTTTCCCCTCTGGGAATTAGCACGTAAGTCGCCCAGTGCTTTCAATTTTTATTTTAGGGGCGAAGCTCCTTAGGGGCTACAAGCGCGAGCTCCTTGCTCTAGGGCACATCAAGGCGGCACAAGCTCTCGTGCGTTAAGAGTAGCTCCCAACGCTATTAGCTCGCGCTTCTAGCCTTGTCTGCGGCACAACATAAGGTGAAACGGAGTATAGCCATGTCCGTATGTCCGTCCGCCGTCGGGTGCACGTGCTCCTGCTCGTGAGCTCACGCGCTCACGTGCTCACGAGCTCCCGTGCTCGTGTAGGGTAAAAAAAAAAACAAAAAAAAAAACCGCATCTCCACGTGGTGAATGATGTTGTTTGGGGCGAAGCTCTGGTGGCGCTTGTCTGTGTAGACGGTGAGCCGCAGCATGCCGAGCCTTTCGTTCGTTTTCATCCATGTCAGAAAGAGAATGTGTGGTATGGAACGTGGTTATATACGCATTTGAGCACTTGACCGCAGCGTGACATGGATGAAAACGAACGAAAGACTCGGCATGCTGCGGCTCACCGTCTACGCAGACAAGCACCACGAGAGCTTCCCCCAATCAACATCATTCACCACGTGGAGATGCGGTTGTTTTTTATTTCAATCGTATGCTATCTACGCATTCGGAATCATGTTACATATTTATAGCATAACAGTTTGTGATTCTAAAACATCCATGAGAAACCTTTGTGCTCCAAGGGGGCACCTATATTTAATATATATATATATATATATATATATATATATATAAGAAGAAAAGAACCCTTAGTGAAAACATCAACAACGGACGATTTAATCTTCGACGTTTCGGCCGGAGTCCGGCCGAAACGTCGAAGATTAAATCGTCCGTTGCCACACACCGTATATATATATATATACATATGTATATATAACGTAATCATCTCTGAACTGTTGGGAAGCGGCTATTTTATCCAACGACCCAGAAAGCCTAATAATACCACATCAACGAGCCTCAGAAACACCTAGTTTTTGTTTCTCGTCGTATAAATGTTATCTCGAAAGTTTCTTTATTTTTGCTCAGGAAAGTGCCACTGTCCCAGAAACCAATAACTGCGTTTCAAAAGTCGGGCAGGTACACTCAACAGAATACTTCTGCCCAGCCTGACATCCGTCATTTTCCCAGGTGCGTGATTTCGGAATAGCCACCAAATCATTCTTCTGACCCCACGGCAAACCGGTGGCGCTGGTTATGGAGCCGAAGTATCTACGCGAAGAAGCTCCGTTCCTCAAAGAGAGGTTCCTGCACACGCGCGCTGCTCACTGCTCCTGTGAGCAAACGCGCGTTTTTACTAGCAATGCTTTCGTTGTAAACAAGTTCGTAGAAGAAAGAAAAAACTCATTTGAAACTGTTTTGTTATAAACGCACCTAATTGTTTATAATACGCTTGTTTATAGCGTATTTTATCTACTCCGATTCAAGATAACTTGACGAACTGTGGGGGCTGCGGCCCCAGCGCCCCGATAAGAGCGTCGGAGCAAGGCACGTGCACTCGATTAGGACGTGTGTAACAACACTCCATGGTCGAGGCCACAGAAGCCTGGACCATGGAGTGTTGTCCCGTGCCTTGGACGTTGCCACACACCGTGTGGCGACGTCCAAGGCAGCGCACGACAAAAGTAGTTCTAGGCTCTTTTTTCTTTCAACGGCTATTGAAATCGCGCGATTCCATCTCTATCAAAAATATATAAAATTCAAGCAATAAATATTCGGGAATTTGTGAGTGACCATTATATTTAATCTAGCGGCGCCACATCCGCATCCTCTCCCGATTTTTTTTCTGCTTGTTAGCGCCGTGGTCGTTGGCAATCGCCGCCGTGTGATCGACCGCTTTCGCTCAAAACATCGCACTGGGCCCCGCACTTTGCACCTGCCACAGATTCCCGATTAAATTGAGCGTCTGTTGTGGCACAAACTGTTTCCAAAATGCTCACTATTCTAGCGGACGGCAGTGTTACGGCGGTGGGCGTTCATCCGAAGTTCGTTGGTTTCGCAGCAGACGACTCTTGGCCAGCAGACGATAGCCGGATTCTCCGGACCCCACATTTGGCGCAGTGACACACACGCACGCGCGATGTAATGTCACGTGCCTCGTTCCTACGCTCTTATTGGTTCACCTGGGCCGTGGCCTCCACAGTTCGCCACCGAGCACCGGGGCACTGCGGAGAAGCACCAGCAAAGCGAGTTTTACTGGCGCTGCTTCTGCCCACTGCACCGTGCTCGGTAAGAAGTGCACTCAACGGGGTTAACCCGCCGCGCCAACACTTCGACAAGAACGCATGTCGCACTTCATCTCGAAGTAAATGGCAAATAGAGTATAACTCGAAACTATTTTTTGGAAATAATATTTGCACAATCATAATACTTGATAATAACGAGTTCGTTTATAAAGAACTTGCTCCCAACGAGTTCGTTTTTAACGAGCTTAATCATAACGGGCTCGTTTTTAACCAACTCATTAACTTTTTATTTTTTATTTGTTTTTGCGGTAAAGAACTTAATTATAACAAGTTCGTTTATAACAAAATTATTTACATCTTCTTTTTGCCGTACAGTACCGCTTAAGGCAAAACGCGTCAGGTCCTGACGAGGCCTTAGACCCCTCGGTTCACGGTGGGTACCAAGAAGATATGTTTGACATATACTACAAACAATCATTATACGTAGAGTTTAAAAAAAAAAATTCTAAGTATTGCAAAGTGAATTAAAAGCCATGGTATTCGTGGCTCCAGCAAAACGGACGGCACCTCGAGGGAAAATACTGACCTGAACAGAACAGGTTCTTTCGCGATTTCTGCTTCTCCCTTGAGGCTATTACAAGTTGTCGGTGGTTGACGCGATGGAACGGTTCCATCGGCCACACTGTCGTCGTAACTGCCGTATCAGTGTGTTGCCCAGGTCGCTCTGAACGCAATATACGCAACCGCGTGAACCAGACATCGTGCGTTTATCAATGTTCATCAGAACCGCAATCCTTCCATCGCTTCCCGAAATAAGGCCGAGCCTCTGGAAGCTTCCTTACGCCCACACATAGCCGTCGTTTCGAAACGTATAGTGAATAAAAATCGGAGCAAGCAAAGCATTTTGAGTCCAATGCTTGCCTGCTGAAACCCGAGAGTTGTGCGTTCAGCTGGCACATGGCACGGCGTGACATTTTTTTAGACCGACAAACCTGCCCGATAGTGGAGACCCCTAAAGGTCGCTAAAATCTCGAATATTTCAGTATAAAAAAAAAAAAAAAAACTGTAGCAATGCATAAGCCTTTTAAACACAATCAAACCGCTAATATAGTTCTTTATCAAATTCTACGCATTATAAACAAAAATAAAAAATACCATGTGGAAATGAAGATCGAAATTGAATTGTTTATTATAAACGAACGAGCTCGTTTGTAACGAACCTGTTTATAGCGAGTTTGTTTATAACGAACCTGTTTATAGCGAGTTCGTTTATACCGAACTTGTTTATAGCGGGTTTGTTTATAACTAATTTTGTTAACAACGAGTTCGTTTACAACGAGTTAGAAACACGTTTTGTTATTAACAAACTCAGTCTCCCATCACGTTATCCCTGCATTTTCCTGGAGCACTGGATGGTTCACCGCGGAAGAATATCCCACGCGTTTTCCAAGAAGCCGCGACTCATATCGCAGACGGAAGCGTGCTTCCCAACTCGCCTGCTCGTGGTCCTTCCGTGTCCGTTCGGTAGACGGCGCACCTCCAGGGATTTCGGAATCCGTACGCGAATATCTCCGAACGCACGGCTGAACCTTGCCCGACGAATGGGTTCCCCGCGGGGATGCGGTAGCCGTGGCCCTCGCTCACGTCGATCCGGAGGACCTTGCCCAGAAGCGAGCCCCTAAACACCGATGAAAAGCAAAACAAAAACAAAAAAACGACAATTTAAATGAATTATTGACGCATTTTTTCTTTTGCATTAGTATCTTTCTGCTTCCCTGTTCCCACTACTAGTGGTCACTGACTAATGAAACAGCCAACAGTGTGACTGCTCTTAGTTATCAGACAGTTTTGTTCCTAATTTGGATAACATAAAATAGCAGACACCGCAGACTGGGAAATAGGTAAGCGGTGTTCGCTGTTTAGTAGGCGAACATAAAAAAAAAATAAGGTAGTTGCCAAAGAAACTAACTTTTTATTCTTATTCTTCTACGCGAGGCGTTTCTAGGTGCTTTTCTTTGTGGTACTAATGTTGTCTCGGGTATTTTAGCCCTCCCAGACAGTTCACTACTATAGGTGAGAAGGCGTATTCTGGCACTGTATTTTTTTTTTGTTGCGTTGGCTTATAAGGTACATTACTTTTTTTTATGTTAATCATTCGTCATATGTCTCAAATTTAATCGAAGGTGTGCTTTCTCTGTTTTTTCCTTTGGTGGCATAAGAGGTTTCGTCGCGAATGAGAAAGTAATTCTATGTTGAACTTCGAATGCCGGTCTTTTTTTTAACATATTTTGTACTCGAATAAGCTAAACAATTAATAATTAAAAGCAGCACAGCAACCGACACGAACAATGCCAATTAGGTCCCTTCGTACACAGGTCAATAGTATATCGACGTGTTCGATATACTATTGACGGATATCGACGTGTTCAACCTCCCAAGGCCCGTCTACAAAGTAAAATACCACCCACACACATGGATTCGTTCATTTTTACCACCCTTACAAACTTTCCCTACTCACTTATTCCTCTCAATCACGTTGCCCTTTTCCGGAAGCCTGACGGGTTAACAAGAGGAACCCTATCAGCAAACAGGCAAGAAAGTGCTACGCGGAATAAACAAGGGCGACCCACTGCAACCTTAATCAAAGACCGAAGCAGATCCCCATTACTTCGCTCACCCCTCAGTTGACAGTGTGGTGGAAGCTACACGTGTTCGTTGGGCCACGAGACCAGGGGGGCTATGTTGCACGTTTTGGACTCCCAGGAGACTAGGGAGAAGGAAGTGACGTCAACGATACAGCAAACGCAGATTGGATGTTGACAGAAGAAAACAAAATCAACATCCAATCTGCATTTGCTGCGTTGTTGACGTCACTTCCTTCTCCCTAGTCTCCTGGGAGTGCAAAAAGCGCAACATAGCCCCCCTGGGTCGGGGGATGTACGCTTGGCGGTTCATGGGCCTGGCGATCTCGTAACTCTCACCGCACTGTCACCTTAGGGGCGACCGGGATACAGGCGAGTTTCACTTCGACAGCAGCGCGGTTGTTTCCACTGTACTTATCCGCTCAGACGATCCACCGTCATTTTAGAATCTCCCCAGGGCGAGCGCGTTCCGACTCCCTCGAAAGCCGGAATCGCGCTGGTGCGCTAAAAAGAGCCATGTATAATTGAGGAGCGTCGTCAGCCTTTTGTTCGGCCGTCCAGATCATGGACTGCAGCGTCTCGTGGCGCTGTTCAGTTTTAAAACAAAGGATGGTACCTCGGGAGCGCCCAAAGCTCGGATGTAGTGAATGCACGAAAGAAAAGGGTATCTCTATAATTCACCACTTAACTTCACATGCGCAACACAAAATGACAAAAAAAAAAAAAAAAACGAACAAAACCTATAGACGCTTTGCAGCAGCTGTGCATGGACGCCGCCATAAATGACCTTCAGTTTTTGCTTCCTCTTATTTCGTTTATTTCACTTCATCATTACCATAGCAGGCCAGGTTATTGCCATATTAGATTCCACTGTGTCCTTTTCTAAAGCATCGGCCTTTGTACAGGATCGTCAACGACCGTTTCAGTTGCTTGGCATCTCGGTAAGACAAGAGAAGGTCAGCAATGGCGGCTGTAATTTGGCGCGTGTGTAAAGCGTCTATAAGGCTGTGTTTCTGCGAAGCTTCACTGCCAACTATACTATACGTCGAAATGCGGTAGCATTGCTCGTCTTCTTTCACGAAGGCTCGCATCTTTATCCCTAGCCAAAGGTCGCTCTCTTTCCTATGGCGTCTCTCTGGCGCGACGACATTACCTAGAATAATCATGGCCTGCTCACTAGAATTTTGACGTCATCACAGTGAGGTCGAGCGCAGGCACAGACTGGACATGACCGCTGCCTCGTGTTCATTTAAAACGCGCCGAAAGACGCCCGGCATCGTGCACGTGTCCAATAAGCCCTTTTCAAAATGCAGTGCCACCTGGTCACTCAAGAAGCGGTTTCACTTTCAACAAATTCATGGCGCTCATGGAACTGTATGTAATCGAGCACCGTCACTTTCATACGCATCAGTGGCAGACGACACTTGGTTCTTCAATCACCTCATACTTATTTAATGATTTGTTTCAGTTTCGATGGTCTGAACATCAGGATTGACTATATCTTGTGCCAAGAGATTGATTAAAGCGCACTTCGAAATGAACGCTTACGCAACCGTCGTATCCAATTCGTGCGTTGTGTTGTACTCACGACTCGAACTACGGGCCTCCAATATAGGCATGGTAGTAATGTAGTAGTATCTTCAACTTCTTCCTCTATTGGCGTCAAAGAAGTCCGTCATTAGGTTGGCACAGATGCCATACACCGAGATAGTGATGATAGTGATCGAAGTGGCCAGTCTGAATTTTGAAGAGGGGCCTTTTGTCACGACGTTTCGTAGACGAAGAAAAGGAGGTTCGCACGCCTTTATTATTCTTTACTCGTATTCCCCCAAAAAAACGCAGTAAAAAAAAGTCCGGCTCCTCGCTGAACGTCACTAATTTTTCCTTCGTGCGTTAAATTAAGAAAGATATATGTAGTTGCCCCGTAGATTAACTTCAAGTTATTTTATCGAGACGTAAACGTTTTAAACACCGAAAACATCGTTTTTTTCTTCGACAGCAAAAAATTGTAAGAACTATTTTGCGCGAGGAGTGAACAATGCGCAAAACTTCTTTTCGTTCTTAATGGTCACACCCACCTGCCTGGAATGGCAGCCGAGGTCTTAGCATCGATGTGATAATGCACTGCGGAAGCCCACATAGCTTGTAAACAATGACGTATATGTACTGGGCCAGTTATGCATCGATTCGTGACCCAGCTCAGCGCAGCCAAAGTTTGGCGGAAGTCAATGAGAAAGGGCTGGAGGCGGAGCTTCTAACACATTATTGGCCCCGATGCTCACAGGTCGAAGCGGTGGCTACGATTCTCCGCTCCGCCGTCCCCCGTGCTGATGTAGAGCAGGCGATCGGGGCCGAACAGGAGCTGGCCCCCGTTGTAGCGCTGACCGGGTTGTGCCACGCGCAACAGCACTTCCTCCGAGTGGGACAGCGCCTGCGCCGTAGGAGAAACGGTGCGTCATCATTCAATGCCGTTACGATAATCATCATCGTTATTGTCAGAGATAGAGTAGTCTTAGTCGCTTATTGTGGTGGTGGCCGTTAACCTCCGAAGTTCAAATTCGACAATAAGCCTCCGTGTGGGACAACACCCGAGTGCTCCAAACAGCATTTATCATCTTGTCGCCATCAGAGTTCAAACTTTGATGGCGACAATACAACGATTTCTTATTTTCCTAGATCATTCATTATGACGAGACGGGACACATTTTTGGATAACCGAGTATGCATACTCCGTCATTGACGAAGTCTATAAATATATACTTAAATACTCATGAACGACTAATTATTTATGTACGACACAAGCTTGTTCGTGATGTAATAAAGCAGGCATTTGTGAGGTATACAGTATATAAGAATTTTTCACGTGCGGACTAGGCACGAATTACAATCTAGGCACGAGGTCCGCACTAGAAAATATTTTTTATTTCCACCCGATATCTTCTTTTTTTTTTTTGTATTCCAATACAGTACTTATCTCAGAGAATTCAGCCCAATAAAGCTTTATCAACAAAAAATTAAAGACGTTTACAATTATCTGTAATGCCGAATTAGAGCGCAGCTCCTGAGGAGGAGGGGGGAGTACGGAGGAAAGGGTGTGCCCCCCTCCCCTTTCCCTTCTCTTCTTCTGCTCCCCCCCCCCCCCCCCCATTTACCAAAAAATGTTTGCTAAATTTCCCGCTAATTTTAGCGGGGAATTATTTCCGCTAAATTTAGTGGGGAATTTTTTTTTTCGCTAAAATTTGCGGGGAAACTTTTCCACTTAATTTAACAGGGAAATTTTTTGTTAAATTTAGCGGGGACGTTTTTTGCTAAGCGTGGACATTTTTCCGCTAATTTTGTCGGGGAAAGTTTTCCGCTAAATTTAGAAAGGCAATTTTTCCGCTAAGTTTAGCGGGAATATTTTTTTCCGCTAAATTTAGGCGCCGTGTGACGTCATTATGGGAACGTCCCATAATGCAACGTGCGGTTACGCCGACGGCAACGCCGACGACGACGACGACAGCGACGCTGCTCAAGCCGCAAGCAGGTGCCTAAGAGCTGCGCTCTAAAAAGTGTACGAGGTTGCCTCCTATGGGTTTTCTGCAGACTTGAGCCTATCTCAGATACTCAACTCAAAATACTGTATTTCAAATACTTTTTGAAGTATCTTAGTATCTTGCAAATACTTTTTGTCCAGAGTATTTGATACTCTATTTTAATTACATTTCTCAGTATCTTGTACTCATGATCTCAAATACATTTTTTACATTCCGCCATTTTCCGAATTTTCCGGTATGAGGTGGCGTGGGAGTGGCACGAGCAAACGTGAACATTCTCTCGAGCAACCAAATCGTTTTGCTAGTTCCGATTAGCTAAGCTGACTTTGAGTAAGCTCGAAAAAAAAAACCAAAAAAACATCGCTTTTTTGCCGATTGTGACTCATATTTCAGCCTAAAGTTCGTACAATGGAGGTTGTCCCCTCG